ATTACTTGCTGTAACATCGTCTAAGTCACAGCAATTTTGGGGAAAGCTATCATCAGTTGTTGTGGCCATCTTTATGTGGAACGACTACAAACGTAAGCCCAGTGTTAATACACATCCTATGATTATTTTCTGAGTTTCATTAAAATCAGTCTAGTGGTTCATAAACTACGGTGGTGCAGTTAGAACTGTCAATTCTCAGCAAGGAGGTCGCCAGATCGAATCTCGGACAGGGACCCTTCTGTGTGGACTGTGTTCATCCATCCATTATCTTTTACTCGCTTCTTCCATTTTGGGTCACGGGGGTCGCCGGTGCTGATGTCCAGCAATCACTGTGCGAGGGGCGGGGTACACCCTGGATGGGTCGCAAGTCCATCACAAGGCCACATAGAGACAAACGAGACAAACAACCATTCACTCTCTCACTCACACCTAGAGACAATTTAGAGTTACCAGTCAGCCTAACATGCATGTTTTTGGTCTGAGTGAGAAAACCAGAGTACTCGGAGAAAACCCACGCATGCACCCGGAGAGAACATGCAAACTCAACCAAGAAAGGCCTCCGGACCGGGATTTGAACCGGGGACCTGCTCGCTGAGAGGCAGCAGCTCTACCAGTTGCGTCACCGTGCTGCCTAGACTGTGTTCATGCATAGGTTTTCTCCAGATACTCTGGTTTCCTCCCACAAACTAAAAACATGAATGTTAGTCTAAGTGGTAACTCTAAATTATTCCTAAGTGTGAGTGAGAGAGTGAATGGTTGTCTCTTTTGTCTCTACGTGTCCCTGTGTTGGACTGGAGACCTGTCCAGGGTTTACCCCGCCTCTCACAGTCGCTGCTGGATATGGGCACTAGTGAACCCCAGCGACCCGAAAAGGAAGAAGCAGGTAAAGTGGGTGGGTGGGAGGGTGAATGGATGGATGGACACCAACAGTTAATAGCAAGGTTTTAAGCAAAAATATTACACATGTAGCTTTTGTATTGTGTTGGAGGTAATGCTCAGTCACTACCACATTACATTTAATTAAAGTTGGCAGAATTATAGTCACATGTGTTTTCTGAGGCCAGTTTGCTGTGGCAGCAAACTTAAAATAGGTTGACCTCAAAATTTCATCAGCTTTAGATGTACACCCAATATTTTCCAGGCGAGTCAGTCAAAATCAGTGTACTGGTTAATGAGTTAATATGCTTACAACCCATTACGACTGACTTGAATGGTTATTGGCAAAACTTAAATCACTAATCTTGCACGAGTTAGTGCCAAAAGGATGTGCTGGAAATCACTCGGCTATCAACAAATCAAAATATAACAAAAAATCTGTGAAAATGGTTGAGTTATAGGCATTTGTGTGTGTTTTCTAAGATCATATGGCCATGTCTTCAATCATGAATTGGGTTGACTAAAAGTTAATCAGGTGTTTATGTCAATTCTGCTTTCTGAAAACTTTATTAAAATATGCTCAATCATATTTTGCTAACGGAACAGACAAACGCATGCAAAAGCCCTATTGGCAGGTGATAAAATGTAGCAAAGAATCTGTGAAATCAGGAGCAGGAGTGATGATAAATGAAGAGACAGAAGCACGAAACTCTGCCATCTTTGAGCGTCACATTAACTATGCATGTTTGCTTCAAGAGAAATTAAGAGTTTTTAAGAAGGGTAGAGAAAATCAAGACTAAAAACCGAGAAAGTGAGAAAATGAAGCTTAAATGAGGGTGGAAAAGGAAACGGCTAAGATAAAACGGTTATTGCTAAAATACCAAAAGATAAGAGTTTGAGCTGGTGCTCAAATTTCGTTTCATAAGATACAAACAAAAGAAAACTGCTAATTAGAGTCACAAAACGCATCATATGTATATGCAAGGTGGAGGACGTAGCATAAAGATCACTGAGTCAACAAGTCAGCTGAAAAAAAAAGTCATAGAGAATGCAAATTGGTGCTGAGGCACACAAGAGAGAACAATATTTAATGAATGCAAATGAATATGGCACCAAAACTCAAATCAAATGTTATTCACCTGAGACACCTTTGAAACATCTTGGAAAGCTCCCGCAATCAGATGCTATTCAGAGGTGATCAACAGCAAGATTGCACGTTACTCAAGTCAAAAATCCAAGTTTGTGTTGGAGTGAGACATACCTTGATAAGCCGTTTGTTAAATCTGAAGTGAAAATGAAAGATGATAATGAGAAGGATGGCTCAGCGGCATGGTAGAGCTCTTTCACTCAGTCATCAGCTCCTGGATTCTGCAGCTACTAACTTGTCTCATTACAGCCCTAGCACTTCACCTCACCTCTTCTAGCTCAGACAGCTCCGTACTGTTAAACTGTCACAGATTATACAACATTGAACTACCGCGCAGATCATCCTACTAGACGAGATGCCACTTTGATTCATTTTTATTTTTTACCCGTGAAAATATTTTCTGGTGCTGAGCAAATATAACTTTACAAGAGTAAAGGTACTTAGCTTAGGCACATCAACTGTGTCTTTATTTAGTTAAATGTGTTCTTACGAGGAAGTTGTGTTCATATTAGCCCAAACTGCAGGTCAGTGCAGGCAGCCAATCTACACCCGCGCTAGGCTCAGAACTCATTATACGGCTCGGTCATGCCTGATAAACTCCCACCTACCTGTGAAAAACTTGCTGACACCATGAATGACAGGCCAGGAAGGGGAAGTGTGAGAAGGTGAGTGTGGATTAGGGAGGTTATGTGTAACAACTGCTTAATTGAATTTAAAACTACAGTACATGCAGAAAAAACTAGGGACAGTACAGAGAGGCGATCTGTCAAACTTTAAAGATTACCTTCAGCTATTAAATGGACTGTATTTATATAGTGCTTTTCTATCTTAAAAATAATCAAAGCGATTTACACTACAATGCGTGTCCTCATTTATACAGCACTCTACTAGATCTATACAAAGAATAATCCGTGCTTTCACATTCATACACCGATGGGACACACAGAGGCAATGAGGGGTTAACTTATTAGAAAATATCAAAAAAAAATAAATAAATACTTCAGATTGGCACTGCTTCCATGATATTACTGAAGGACCAGCACTTCCCTGCAGATACAAGTGAAGTTGTTGAGTTTTCAAAGAAAGAACTGGAGTGTGAGATCTTTGAAGTTCAACAACAAGCTTGATTAGCGGCAGCTGTTTTCATCCAACAGCAAAGGAGAATTGAAAAATGTATGAAATGTCGGTTCTGGCTCGTATCTAATAACTGGTCTGACAGAAATATTTTAAAATGCGTCAGGAATATTTTCAGCAAATTTCAGTATAGGCTACGATTGCAACAATGGTGTATTTAAAATATACGGTGCAATTGTAAAGAATGTTGCTTTACTTTACATAATTTGTGTATTTCAACGTATTGCCCACTGGCATTTTATCATGTAGCAACAACCTTAAGAAAGTTATGCAGTTTTACAACGAGTGTTGCTTCTGTTTGTTTGTTTTAATGCCATTCCCTCAAACTAGTGCAATATTTATCACCCACCATAAAAAGACAAAGGTGGGCAATGTTTTAACTTTTTCCTGCTTATGTGCATCATGTGTCTCTTACAAAAAAAAAAAATCTCCTGTTCCACTGAACGTATTTTAATAATATTAGCAGCGAGTGTACTGGCTGTACATATACAACTTGTTAATTTTGGAGTGACCCAAATTTAAAGATGGCTGCAACAGCCAACTGACCTTAAAACACACACACAAAAAACAAAACCCATGCATGCATCGAGAGAACATCCAAACTCCAAGCAGAAAGGTCCTGGGCTGGGATCTGAACCGGCGACCTTCTCGCATCAGAGGCAACAGCTCTACCAACTGCACCACCGTGCCACTGCATAAACATCTGTTTAAATAAATTTACAAATCAACGTCTACGTGTTCATAACTTTTGTGCTTATTTACTGCATTCAAGCCACCAGCAATTTTTTCTCCTAACTCGGGATTTTCTGAAAATATTGCCCCTCCACCCACCCCCCACATACCAACGTTTTAACATTAGCTCACCTACAACACTGGCCAAGACTCGATTTCCATTACAATTAAACAGCAGAGGACAGTGGAGTCAGCCACCCCACACAAAAAAGCTCTTCACAGCAGAGATAAAGATGCAGAAGTAGTCAAAAAAAAAGAGAGAGTAAGTGTGTGGCCGGGATAAGTGGTGGGAGGATTATAGCTAGTTCCATCATGGATTTGGTCCGTTCACTGCTTCTTATAAAAAAACCTATTAGCATGTGAATGAACAGGCACACAGTGCATGGAGTTTTCTAAGGTCCAGGAGCCCTGATCCAGTATCAGGTGAGCCTTCTGTCAAAAGGGAATAAGCAGTGGAGAACTGTGTGTGCACGCTCCAGAAGGGGTCATTTACATGATTATATAAACCTTGTTTTCTCTATCATTTTTTTACAAGATTTGACATCACTCAAGGAACGAGTACAGTGTGTTGGATGTTGCAATAAAGTTCAAATGGGAGTAAACAATTTAATCAGCTTATTAAAGTCAGCGCTCCCATCTTTATAAAACAGTCTTGACAATATAAAGTAAATTCACCTGTCAAGTGAAACTGGCAAAATAGGATTTATTTAAAATACACTATTTAAAGGTATATTTATCTAGATGAAAGATTTGTAATGGTCGAAGGGTACTTACACATTTAAATAGATATTAGCACATGTTTAAGCAAATGGATTTTTAAAAACGGCTGGGAAAAAAATAAATGCGTTGAAAACATGTTTTTTTTCCTTTGGCTAAGTATTGAAATCCTGTTTGTATTTGTCGTCACATGTATTACTGACATTAACCCATCTCTGAATCACAATGATCTTGTGGGTAAATCACATTAAATTAGAGTATTATAAACTCCAACAGCATACAAGCGGTGTTAAAAGAAACCAAATTATCTAAACATTAAAAACACCTAACACAAGAAGAGGGAATGAAATCATTAGGACAATAAAAGCACAGAAGGGTCTGTGTCACTGCTTACCTCTCGTTGCAACACCAGCTCTTTTGTGAACAGCATGGCTTCATCACTGAAGGGTTCAGCTGCCTGAATCCCGCCAGGCATATTCCGGGAACTTCGCGGGCATTCAATACCTAGACAAAGACGAAAAATTCAGTCATAAGTACACAAAGCTGCTAATTGAAAAGAACAACGATGGACCTATAATACATTCTCACTAATAAAGGTCAGAAAAGATAGGGTGAGGACAAACTTAACACCATGTCAGAGAAAATCTTTCACCAACGTTAACCCAAAAGAACCACACTCAACAGCAGAATATTTTTAACCAGTATTTATATAAATATACATATCGCATATATAGATGCATACGCATGAAAACCAGTCACAGAAAAAAAGCTACCAGCTGTGTAATCTGCTCGCTTTTATACTCCTCTCAGCTCAGCTCAGCTGAGTTCAGAGTTCAGGCGGTGTCCTACAGCACCCTCTGTCTACCCCAACATATGGTTCATGGGCAGAGAAAAGTGTCTTGGAAGACATTGTTGGCTTATTTTGGGCTTCTTGTTCTCAGTGCAGAGGGGAAGGATATTCTCAGACATAATAATAAGAACATCCATAACCTTTGACAAAAAAAAAATTGACAAACCAGCATCAGCATTAAACAGAAAAAAAGTTGTCAACAGGTCAGTCCTGAGAAGTTGAAACACTTTTAACCCAATGAAACTGAAATAGGAATCTATGAAGCTTACCTTTGGTCATTTTTGATTATTTTAATGTCCAGGAACAAGTTTCAGGCACAAGAAAAGACTAATGAGCAGGTGGAGAAACACTACAAAGCTTTATTTTTTACACTTAAATAGGCCTAATATCTTAAAACAAAGAAGAAAATGCAAGAGACACAAACAAAACGGGGTTTTCTTTTTACGAATATGAAGTTAGTCATGATCATGTTGGAGGATTGCAGACTTACAATTGTTGTGATTCTGTACACACAGGTCATGTATTCATCACATCATCTATATAAAAATTTGCCTAAAATAAAATGCTGGGTTATTTTTTTCCTCCAGCCTTAGATAATCATATATAGCCCTAAAACAAAACAAACAAAAAACATTAAGTATCCCGTTTCCACTGTGTGTGTGTGAACATGTGCATGCCCTTTGAAACAGTATTGTTTATTCATAATTATAAACAATAAATAAAGCTATGCATTATTCTGGTGACATCTTGTTTAAAATCCTAAATGAATAAACTCAAGTGTTTCAGTTTACCACAACAAACCAACAAGCAGGTTGGGTCTGTTTAATGCACAGTAAACTGATGACAGTTTCAGCTGGGAGTTAAAGCCTACAGCATATTGCTAATAAAGCAATGTCTCTCTCCTAGGGTCTTCCTTTCCTGTTTGACTCGAGGTTTAATTTAATGACACTCTGACACAACATATATACTGCCTGAGGACAAACTCGCAAATATACATGACAGAAGTAAAATTACATTTGTTAAGGCATCCTGGTGATGCTGTAATTTGCTGAGATCCTGAGATTCAATTTTCGCTTGTTTTATTTTCTGAATGATTGTGCATTTATACAAATTTTTCAGATTTTTGCAGAGAGACGTGTGGAATATTTGCTTCAATACAGGATTATTGTGCTGCACTTTTCTTAGACCTGTCTAAAACTTTTGACACTGTGGATCATGACATCTTGTGTCATAGGCTCTCAGAAATTGGTTTCTCAGAACACACCATTGGTTGGTTCACCAACTATCTTTCAGATTGGAAACGATGCGTTCAACATAATGGTATTTCCTCCAGTTATTTAACAGTCAACAATGGTGTACCTCAAGGCTCAATCTTAGATCCCACCCTCTTCACAATCTACATAGGTAATGTAGGTCAGGCAATTCGTGATGCAACCTTACATTTCTATGCTGACGACACAGTTGCTTACTGTCGAGCTAAAACCGTTGCTAAGGTTTTCCAGATTTTGCAATCCGCTTTGGACATCATCCAATCAGATTTGTTCTGTCTCAAACTTGTCCTAAATGCGACAAAACCAAAGGGCTGTTGTTTTCAAACAGAAAGTCAGTCCCAGCAGTTCTTCCTTCGATTTTATCCTCAAATGGTGTCCCTATGGAGTTTGTTGATTCCTACAATTATTTGAGTATCTTAGTCGATTCGCATCTCTCTTTTAAACTTCACGTGGAAAACTTGGTAAGGAAACTGAAAGTTAAATTGGGTTGCTTTTTCATAAATAGATCCTGTCCAACTCTGAACGCTAGTAAACACCTTGTAACTGCAACTTTCCTTCCCTCCATTGACTACAGTGACATTATATACATGAACGCTCCTACAAGAGTCTTGCAGATGTTGGACGCTGCCTATCATGGTGCGCTAAGATTCATAACTGGCTGAACTACTGTACCCACTATTGCACCCTATATTCACTGGTTAACTGGGCATCATTAACTTCACACAGACTCTCACTGGTTAATTTTCATCTTTAAATCACTTCTTGGTCTGCTGCGTTCATACATCTCCTCCTACATGTTTTTGCGTGAGTGCAGCTACAGCGTGTGCTCTCAGGACATTATTACATGCAGTGTTCCCTCAGTGAGGACTGCATTAAGCAAAAGGGCCTTCTCCTACTCTGCCCGTTTCCTGGAACATCTTGCAAAAAGATCTGAAGCTCTCGACCTTGACCTCTCTAAGTGGCTTAAAACATCTGCTGAGTTCCTCGCAAAAACCAATGCAGACATGTTCCAGTTTTTAGTTTCCTACACCGCATTACAACCTAGCTGTTTGTTTCTTTTTTATATACCATTTTCTTTCATTTGTTCATCTCAATTTGTATGCCTTGTATGATTGTCTACTTTTGTCATCATTCTTTGTTAAAATCAGGTCTCTCTTGTAAATGAGTCCCTGAGGTTCAATGGGATTAACCTGTATAAATAAAGGTTGAATAAAAATATGCACAGAAATAGTCATTGCATGATCAGGGATTGGTTTTGTTTTTGAGGGTTGAAATTAATATTTTTTTGTTTCCAAATAAACAGATGGATACTTTATTGTTGCTCGCGAAAAGTCTGGCTCCAATGTATTTTACAGTGAAAATCTAGGACACCATGTACCAGGTGAGTGCAAATCTTGGCTGCTGTACTTGCAAAAAGAAAAAAAAATGTCCTTTAAAGCTTTATCTGAAACTGAAAGAATGTATTCATGTTAAAGACACTAAATACATCTACTCATAAAATCTCATACAAGTTACTTTTTTTGGTTTGTTTTTGCTGTAAGCAGCATGTTGTTGCAACTTATGAAGCTACCAGAAAATATCATCCTCCTCTATATGACCTCAAATAAAATAACATAGGCAAGCGTACAAGAACTTACTAGTATGGTTTTCTATGCAATTCAATGCTCAAACTGTCTTATTTTTTTTTATCTCATTCCCTTGTTTAGCACTTTCTGTTCCCTGTCCCATTTATTAGAATAAAAGATGTGAGCATATTCACACAGGAAGGGGGAAATGATCCAGTAAAGGCAAAATGAGGCCAAAGGAAATTCAGCACTGAAGAGTTACAAGACCTACACCAGTGAGGTTGTGAAACCAAAAAGAAAAATCACTGGTTTTTACTCAGTTTGTATTGTTTCAGTGGATCCTTTATAAGTATGTCTCCATTTAAAACAATAACTAGAAGATGCTTACGACTAAAAAGATCTAATTACAGTAATATAAATGCACCTCACTGGCTCTGAAACATGCACTGGAAAAGTCACATGTAAATTAGGTTGTTACATTAGACATTTTACTGAAAATGCCCTGTAACTACATATTTATAATCTAAAATGTAACTAAATGTAGGGAGGGGAGAGAAAGGGTTTCGGTGCTGCAGAGGAGACACAAATGACCAAGATCATCTTGAAGTATTTATAGGAGTTTACCAGGACAGGGCTTACACCTGGGACTCAGGGGCTGTAACACTGTAAGGAAAAAAAAAAACAGATTAAAGAAATGAGGGGTAAGGACTGAAGAAAATAAGAACGACAAGAAAGGAAAGGCTTTGGTAGGGGGAAAATACTGTTGGCTGTTAGCAAAAACTGGTGTATGAAGTAATTGCAAAACGGGAGATATAGGTTTCTGCTTGGGTTGGCCGCAGCTATGATAAGGGACGGGAATTGTGTTTTTCCCCAAGGATAATCCACAGAAAAAGACTGCTCAGGAATGTAACACACAAAGAAGTTCAGCTTCACTATAAAGCATAAAAAGCACAAGAATTTGTACCGGCTTAACTGCGGCAACCATTTCCAATTTGGTCAGAACTCTTTCGGATGACCAAACAATGCCAGTAAAACAGTACACAAGCAATAATCCCAGAGGAGGGATCTAACACAACGTGTCCTCTATATATGTAGTCTCACATACACACACTGAACAGTTCCCTTAAATGACCCGACTGCACTTCTGCACATCACTCGCACTTACTGTAGTCTCCTCCCTGCAGCATTTAAACCAAGCCAGGGAGCCACTTAGCACAGCCAATTTTAACCTTCGCCGAGATACATAACTCAGGACTGACACCGAGATAAACATCTGGGTCATACTCCAGGATATCCATCTTATCTGATCGTAGAGACAAACAAGACAAACACTGATTGTTCTGACATTACATTACATAGCCAACAACGCACGCAGGGGATGCTGGTGCACAGCTGCTCCTCTTACTAGCCTTAAGTAAAAGCCCACATGTCAATCCACCAAACATCACATCAATCGTCTTTTTATTATTTGGATCATAGGCTGTTTTTGACTGATGAAAGAATTGTATTATACCCACAATGCTATTTTTTGAGTGATTGGTTGAGTTGTGCATTTTAATCGCTCTTAAAACTCACTTGAACCAAGAATACGCGTGATACCTTGAGCATGGTGCATTTCCAGCTTAATTAAAAAATAAATTTAATTAAATTAAAAAAATGCTAAGTGAACATATTTACTTTTCTCCATTTCTATCCAGAGTGATATTTGTAAATGTGTAAGTCAATGTGCTCTGAGCTGATCCAATATGAACATAAAGAGATTGAGTCAACTTCTTTCTCCCTTAACTAAGGCAGATAATGAGCTTCATCTAGCAGAAA